GGGTGTAGTAACACACACGCCGATCGCATAAGTTTTTATGGGTTCCCAAAAGATTTGAATTTACGACATCAGTGGACCAAAGCCGTCAAGAAGCCGTCATTGGGATGGACCTTCTCCATATACTTTTATTTGCAGTGTCCATTTTTATGCCCGTATCATTTGTTGATCCACTATCTGGATTCATTAATTTATGAAATATTTTGGTTTCGGGAATGAAAAACGGCGCAAACTGAAACCAGATGCAGTGCCAACAATATGGAAAGTTGGTGACTGCAGAAGAGCTGATACAGCTACATGGTGTCATGGAAGTATTTCGCCCATAATTCGCAAAACGGAATACCCTGCATGCAAAATCTGAATCCTTCATTTTATAACAAGACATTGGGCACAAAAAGAGAAACCATAATTGTAATTCAACAAGTTTATGTAACGTGATAGTCCACTTGCCAGCTGCCTAGTTAAAAAACGCGATCTCCATTGATGTCGGCTTCGGACAAGTACATTTGCAAGTATTGTACATGTTGTATTTATTTGACAAATTGTACACTACGGTCATTCTATAACAATCGATTGATCAATTTTTCTCAGTCTTACTATTCCTGCAGATATTCTTTATTTTTTATAGGTGCCACTATTTCAAATATGACGCTAAAAATATTTCACTGTGAAGTCAAAACGCGTAAAAATCAAATAAATCCAATGCTGTAGACGAATTGTTGTTCCATGAAAATATGGTATATGCAAGTATATTATGTGGTTATTAGAGTTCAGTTGAAATGTATGTGAATAATGCGATCGAAGTGCGCTGCCCAGAGTTTATTACATTATAGTAAAATTAACATGACGCATGGTATGGTTTATATTACATATTCACTTCATTTCGAATAAAATAATTCACCATTGGAACATCGATGAAGTATTTAAAATATTTTCTCAACTTTCCGTAGACACCTGACTACTATTTCAATGATTTAAATGCGCCTATGTTTATGTTTGCTTAATTATTATGAATGCAATGCATTATCAAGTCAGTAATATTGAAATATTCACAGACCCAATACCCCGGGTCAGTGCCGTAACAATAATAAACAAGCAGCCTGTCGGCTGAGATAGCTCCGCTGTTAGCAATGCACATGGCAATTAAAGAACAGAAGATATCATTAGAAAATGAACAAATCTGAGAGAGGTCCACATGTAGTACCTATATGTATAATATATCAAAGCAATTGGACTTGCGGTTTTCAACAAGAAGTC